ATCAACTTAGCAAAGGCAAGTTGTTGTCAAAGTGGTCACGGGTGTCACCTAGTTGTTCTGAGGTGCCAGGTGTCATAATGTCATTGGAGGGCCAATTCCGCCCTCATCATTTGCCCCCCACTTCCGAGCTGAAAGTAACTCGGCGAAGGGAGTAGATTTCTCCTTTTGGCCCGTAAGTCGATGAGCTCGTAAGTGCTGATTCTATTCCTTAGGCTCTGGGAGCGACTCGTAGTCCACTCCTTGATTTTGCCCATGCCAAAGAGGCAACTAGGTTTTATGCGGTGAGGTCTCTATGAGGTGTCGGGCTGACCAGGTGTCGGGCTGCCTGTGAGGTGTTGGGCTGACCGGGTGCCGAGCTACCTGTGAGGTGTCGGGATTACCAGGTGCCAAGCTGCCTATGAGGTGTCAGGCTACCCGGGTGCCGAGTTGCCTGTGAGGTGTCGGGCTGACCAGGTGCCGAGCTGCCTATGAGGTGTCGGGCTGACCGGGTGCCGAGCTGCCTGTGAGGTGTCGGGCTGACCGGGTGCCAAGCTGCCTGTGAGGTGTCGGGCTGACCGGGTGTCGAGCTGCCTGTGAGGCGTCAGCGTCTCTACCAGCTCAGTACTGTAGCCCTTAGGCTCTAAGGGGCAACTTATAGTCCACTTTTGTTGATTTTGCCCATGCCGACGAGGCGGCTGGGTCTTGTGCAGTATTGTGGCCCTTAGGCTTTGGGAGCGACTCATAGTCCACTCTTGAACTTTGCCCATGCTGAAGAGGCAACTGGGTTTTTAAGCAGTATTGTGGCCCTTAGGCTTTGGGAGTGACTCATAGTCCACTCTTGAACTTTGCCCATGCCGAAGAGGCAACTGGGTCTTAAGTGATATTGGCCCTTAGGCTTTGGGAGCAACTTATGGTCCACTCGTGGATGTCGCCCATGCCGACGACGCGGCTGGGTCTTAAGCAGTATTGGCCCTTAGGCTTTGGGAGTGACTTATGGTCCACTCCTGGACTTCGCCCATGCCGATGAGGCGATTGGGTCTTGAGCAGTATTGGCCCTTAGGTTTTGGGAGTGACTTATGGTCCACTCCTGGACTTTGCCCATGCCGACGAGGTGGCTGGGACTTGGTTGGCCATGCCGAATAGGCGATTGGGTATTAAGTGATGAAGAAGTCTTTTATTAGTTTATCAGTTCGCCCCTAGGTCAGGCCGCCAGGTCGGTGCCCGTGCCAGGTCGCGCCAGGTCGGCGCATGTGCCAGGCCGCGCGCAGGCCGGCAGGCCGTGCGTAGGCCGCCAGGTGGGCGCCTTAGAGCTATGAAGCGAGAGCTTCAGTTTCTTTGAGTTTATAAAAAACGGAAAGTATAAAGCGAGAGCTTCAGTTTCTAAAAAGGTGAGGACTTAGCTTTCTGAGAGAAGAGGACTTGGCTTTTTGTAAGGTAAGAACTTAGCTTTTGTAGGATGAGAACTTAGCTTTTTGTAGCGTGTTCCCACAGACGACGCCAATTGATGTAACGGTTTCTGGTCACGTATCAATTTTTTGGCTAAGTACCTCGTCAGCTTGTTTGCTCGCCAGAGGCCTGTGACTAAGGGGCTGAAGTGGAGTTCCTTATAGTAGCGAGCTACCTGGTGGCGAGCTACCTAGTGGCAAACTACCTGGTGCCGAGCTGCCTAGTGGTGAGCTACCTGGCGGCGAACTGCCTGGTGGTGAACTACCTTGATGAGCTGCTTGGAGGTGAGCTACCTTGATGAGCTACCTGGTGGTGAGCTACCTGGATGAGCTTTGTTGCTCTTTAAGAGGCCTGTAAGGAACCAAATGTTAGAGGACCCGGGGTGGCTAACCCGGCGAGGTCACTCCGATGCCTAAGTTAGCACTTAGTGGCGAGCTGAGAATGATATTAGAGAATGTGAAAGCTAGAGAGCAGAGGTTACCCATCCTTCCTTCGCCCCTGGGGGGTGAGGTTTTTATATACTAGAGTCCTCGTGGGTTAGGTGGAGCAGTTCCTGGATTCCCGCTGTGATGGGACTTGCTTTCGTGTTAGGTGGGGATAAAGCCACAAACTAGTAAGGTTGCCCATTTCCGCCTGACTCGGGGAGTGGGTGAGCTAATATAGTCGTTACAAGTCACAATCCCGTAAAATGCGGGGTACGGTGGTGAGCTCCTCGGGGTTGTCAGGTTGGCGTCTGTGTCAGGCCGCCAGGTCAGTGCTTGGGCCAGGCCGCTAGGTCACGCCTGGGCCAGGTCACCTGCTCGTGCCAGGGCTAGGTTGCGCCAGGGCCATGCTGCCAAGTCGTGCCAAGGCCAGGCTGCCAGCTCGCGCCTGTGCCAGACCGTCTGATGGGACACCATCAACTTAGCAAAGGCGAGCTGTTGTCAAAGTGGTCCTAGGTGTCACCTAGTTGTTCTGAGGTGCCAGGTGTCATAATGTCATTGGTGGGCCAAATCTGCCCTCATCAGGAACCAAATCCAATTTCCTCAAAATGAAATTCATTCGGATACCTATTCAATTCTCTTAGGCTGTGTTTGGTTTAAAGGAAAAAAATAGGAAAAAGGAAGAGAATGATAGGGAAAGCTATACACGGTTTGTAAAAGTTTATTTACCTTTTCTTTCCTTTTTCTACCTTTTCCTTCAAACCCAACATAGCCTTAGAGTTTTCTAAAAAAATCTCTCAAAGTTTTATAACAATGGTCCTTTAACATCGCGTAATCTATGGGAGAGTTCTAAAGTAAAAAAAATGCAAATTCTTGTTTAATTTTGTTTTTGGTTTTACTTTATTCTTCTTCATGCCTTAATTTACTTCATTTATACTACAACAGACAAAATAAACTAAAATTTGAAACAAAAATATGTCAGAATTTACACTTAAATCATATGCACTGCCATGGTTTTATATCAATGAAAATTCATTTGCATTGCAACCAAACACAGCCTAAGGGTCATTTGAAATAGATCCGTTTAAAACCGGATCAAATAATCCCATTTGCCTTAAATGTTGTGTTTGGTTGCAGTGCAATTTTATTTGCACTAGTACAAATGCATGGGAGTGCAAATATAAAAAATGCAAATTCTGATTTAATTTGTTTTAGATTTTACTTTGTTCTACTTCATGTCTTAATTTACTTTATTTGTACTGCAACAAAACAAAATAAGATAAAATTTGGAACAAAAATAATTTAGAATTTACACTCAAATCATTTGCACTACCATGGTTTTGCATCGGAATAAATTTATTTACATTGCAACTAAGTACAGCTAATGCTCAGTTTGGAAGGAATACAAATACAATTATAAAGAGTGCAAAGTCTTGTATTTTATATTATTTTCTATGTATTTATATTGTATATATTTATATTTGTATTTTTTCCAAGAGAGGAGAGCCTAAATTTATCTCTCTATTTAAAGTTTATATCTTATATATTTGATTTAATATTGCATTTTTAACAAGAAAAGAAAAAATTCCTTTAAATCTCACAAAAAAATTAGTTATTTTATTAATATATAATATTTTAATTATTTTAATTTGATTTATTAATGCTATCCTTTTTATGAATAGATTTATTAATGTTTTTTTTTTTCTGTTAATTTATTAATGATATTCAATATTGCAATCCAAAATTGATCCGTACTATATAAATCCAACGGATAGTATTCGATTCGAATCATATCTTTATATCAGATTCGGTTGCAGCACTAAATGCCCGACTTCAACGGTTGTTTATACTTTTAACTGGCGAAAATGCCCTCCAAAAGCAATGAACATTTCCCCCTAAAAAATCCGATATCTGAGACCAGATAGACCCATCGCACTCATCGCAGTGAAATCCCTCTCTCTCTCTCTCTCTCTCTCTCTCTCTCTCTCTCTCTCGGTGTTCCACCAGCGGCGGAGAAATTTCCGGTGAAACCCATTTGCCTCGAAGCCCAGAGAGATCTCAGCAAGAGAAGGATGGATTTTATCGAGGTTTCAAGTCGATTTTCAGTGATAGTTCAATCTCCCGTCTTAGTAACGAGTCAACTTAGAAGTCCTGCCGCAAGACCGATTTATCATCTGCGTTTTGCTGCTTCAGGCTCAGCAAAGTCAACTATGGTATGTTCCTGCACTGTCGATGCAAAGCCGGTTAGTGGGGAAGTATTTTCGGTCACTTCATCAAGCAAGTCAGATGTTGATTATCTTGGAGAGAGCACGAAAGGGAACTTAAATGTTACGAAGGAACACTTAGAGGCTTTTGGTAACGTCCACTCTATATCCTTTAGCGGATGTTAGTTAAAGTTAAACAGAGTATTTCCTTTGTTCTCAGTTTGAGCACCTGTGCTTGTAACTTGTTATTTGTAATTTAATGTTGTCTTTTCATCATAAATGCTGTTGCTGTTTATTTTCTCCCTTACTCGCGAACCAAGGAAAAATATACTTTACTCGGTAGCTTATGAGCCTCTGGGCAATGTTTGCTCTATGAAGTAATATATGAAGTAATGAACTAATGGGGGTCCAGTCAACAATAAATTCTAGCATATTAACGATACCTTCTAAAAGTAATGGCTGCTACACAAGACCCAGTTATTAAACAACTAGACCTTTTAGAAGGATAGTCAGACCGGTTGTATGACCTCAGTATAGTTGATCCAGAAGAATGGGAGCAACTGAGAGTGAACTCAGGAAGGATGATGGACGTGATATAAGTTGCAACATGTTCTTGAAATTGTTCACTAAATGGAGTTCTAAAGTTGATATGTTGGACCAGAATAAACTTAATGGTGCATTTCGGACTTATCATCATTTAGGTGAGATTTGAAATATAGTTACAATCCTTTATATTTTCTTTCAAACTGATGGATAAAATTTTCTAGTTGATGTTTGGAAAGTATGCTATGAAGCTTTGTTGAGATGTAGTATAACTTTTTTTTTTCTTATTTTTCTTTTTGAACTTTTGTAATGATACTATTGTATTGCAGTGTTTTTTATTTTCAATCTATATTACACTGCATGGGGCAAGACCCATGTAAATTTTTTGCTTTATTCGAAATTCATATCTGATCATATTTCCATTCTGATCGACTCTATTTTGTCCATGGGTCTCTCTCTCATATTTAACAAAGTCAGTACTGGTAAAACATGAGGCCTAATTAATTGAGAAAAGCAGAATTCTCCCTTTGAAATAGTTGATGAGAGATCTCTCCAAACTTGCTCGGCTTTAGTTTGATTAGTTTTGGGAATCCAATTTAGTAGTGAGGCCTAAGCATTTCCAAGAACATTCATAAGTCATAAGCAAAAACTAAGAAATGCAATGAAGAGAACAGTGCTTGGCTTGGTTGTTTATTTTCATGTGGAGAGGTCTACTCTAGAAACCTTGAGTAGGTTAAAAGCAGAAAAATGCTTTCAAGCACATGAACTTAGCAGAAAATAGATAACACATACAAAATTGAATCTCTGTTCTATTGTTTCAGGTTTATCTTTTTCTTTAATTGTTGTTCTTATGTTCTTCAATTTTTGGATTATCTCTTCAGCTTCCTTACGCATTGTCCTACTTACCATTTTTTTCCTTTCTTTCCTTCTGTATTTTATTTTTTATTGAATTTCTGCAATCCTCTCTAATTACTACAGTGGCCATCCTCACTACTATTTGATTTCCTTTTCACCCAATCTTCAGTTCTGCTTTGCTTGTTCTGGTGACCATTCAATCTCTTTAAATTTTGTCCAGCCTAATTTGTTGGGAAAGTTAATGCCAAGTTTCAACTAGCAATCTGAGGGCTTCGTAAACCTGCTTTAAGCTTGCTTAAGGCTCATTTCACCCATTTAACCAGAGGCTGTTTGGGTAGGCCCTACATCATCCCCTCAAATAAAAAAAAATGCCAAGATAACAAACAAAATGAACTAAGAACTTTTCTACATGACCATTATTTTGATTTGAGAGTTCCCAGCATTACTTGTATTGCTTCGTATGATATGTGTTTAATGAGTCAATTTAACATCTTGGTTGTATTGCTTCATTTGATTCCAGGATGCATCTTCCAAATAATCTTTTGGTTGCCTAAGTTTTTGATGCAGTTGATAGTCCTTCCAAAATTTGTGCTATGCACTTCAGTCCCATAATAGAAGATGAATTATCTGGCATTGTACTTGCCTCTATGGTTAAGATTTTAAAGTGAAAATGTTTTGCCATGTATCTTTTTAACAATCAGGAGCAAAGAAGTTGAACTCTGTATATTTTGGTAACCAGTTCCTAAAAGCTCAGCTATAATGCATGTTTTTAATATTCCTGTGTAGGTATTGATGGCCGAGCAACCTTAGAGGGTCCCATTGAGGAGATAGCCAGGGTGGAGGCAAAAGAAGCTGAGGATCTGCTTAGTAACTTAGGAATCATGGTATGATGGAAATTTTATCTTTCTTACAGCTGATAGGAAATATGTTGGATACATTTTTTTTTTCTATCAAAACCCCCATCTATGAATCCCACAAACACTCCTATTTAGAAGTTTAATATATCAAATGTTAGCCATGCCATGTTATTGAGGTACATGGAATGTTGATGAATGACTAATATGGCTGGTGTCTTCCACCATCTATCAGCCAAAGAGAGAGACCCACTTGTTAGAATCAATTCTCTTGTCACATTTTATCTTGCATATGAGTTTGCTTATATAAGTCCTCTTCTATCATTTTGCTTCTGGTGCAACATGTTACTTATAAGGGATACCTGCTAATGTTGCTTATTTCTGTGACAAAGTTACAAAAGAGTCCCTTTCCCTCCTCATGGAGGTGCATGATCCCTAGTTCTTCAGAACAGGAAACTCTCCTACCATACCTCATTCTTATGGTTACAAGTTATATTAATTATAAAACATTGTATTAAAAAAGTTCAAAGCAGGTTTTTTGAAGAAGAACCAACTAAACAGGTATCCTAGAGCACAATGGCTCATTGGAGTCCATAGTTGTCATGGTATATACACACACATACTACTATTAAAAGTGGAAATGAGGTCTAGATTCTGGACTTTTCTTGACTAAAACACCTCTATTTTTGAATTTGTCCCTCATTATTATTAGGACAAAAATGTAATTTGAACTACTTTTTGAGTTCATCCTATTCCCTTTCAAGTCCTATATTTAAGGTATTAACTTCCATTCCTTCTATATTTAAGGTATATTAAATGAATGAGCTTTGTGGACTTTTTCCTAACTAAAATACCCCCACTTCTATCAGACCTTTGGGTTTGGCTACTTTCGTTGTTTGGGRGTAGTTGGAGTCTACCAGCAGAACTTCACATGCTCTTCAACCATTCTACCTTTTATTGGCCTACACAAAAATAGGGAGAATTATGTGGAGATGTTCTCGTGCTGCCTTGATTTGGACTCTTTGGGAAGAAAGGAATATTAGAATTTTTCAAGAAAAGGAAAGGAGCAGTCAGGAATTGAAAGACTGTGTGTTAAATAGGGCAATACCTTGGCTGAAGACCTTGGAAATCTTTCATCAATTCTCCTTTAATGACCTTTGTAGAA